CATATGTTCTCCCATGTAGTGGGCTTTCTTGTTGTGTTGATGGTTTCTTTTGCTGTGCAGAAACTCTTTATTTTAATGTAGTATGAAGGAAGAATATCACATGATCTCACTCATTTCTGGATAATAAAGACCATTATAAACTTATGAACAAAAATAGATACAGAGGCAGAGCTGCCTCCAACAGACTGTCAAACTACAGCAGGGCGCCAGGGAGGGTGGGAGGGCAGGAGGGGGGTGGGTAAGAGATCAACCGAAGGACTTGTATGCATGCATATAAGCATAACCAATGGACATAAGACACTGGGGGTAGGGGAGGCCAGGGGATTGTCAAGGGCGAGGGGAAAAAAGGAGACATATGTAATACTCTTTGTAATACTTTAAGTAATAAAAAAAAAATTAAAAAAAAACTATATTCTGGATTGAGTTAAAACATTTATTTCATATGAAATGCTCCACCATTTGGATTTTATGTTTGAGTGTTGAAAATTAAATGTAAAACTCTGATTTTCATTGTGATGTGTACATATTAGCATGGATGGACACAAAATTAACTAAAGAAACTGTTAAGTTATACAAAATGTTTAACATAATAAAATGGCAGTTTTTTAACGTTTGAAGCATGGCATAATCTAGTAAATAAAATAATATGATTAATGTATTTTCATTTAAAATTAGAATACAATCAGCATTCTATATAATCAAAGGCTAATAGGCAAATCGACCAAACAGCAGAACAACCAGTGCACTCCCACAGCGGGGAGCACAGCTCAGCCAGAAGCCAGGCTCACAGCTGGTGAGCACAGTGACAGTGGAGGGAGCCTCTGGCATCTCCGCAGCAATGCTAGGGATCTGACTGATGGCTTAGGCCCATTACCCGTCAGTTGGACAGACATCCCCCATGGGCTCCCGGACTGCGAGAGGGCACGGGCTGGGCTGAGGGACCCTCCCGAGTGCAAGATTTTTGTGCACCAGGCCTCTAGTACATTACGATGTATATGAACTTAATTTTTTAAATTTAATGATTCAGAAGGAATTTTAAAATCTTCTTTGAAAATAATCATTATGCATATAAATTTTTACCTCTTATATGGAAATATCAATAGGAAGTTTCTTATCTAAATAACTGAACCATTAATTACTATAAATCAACATTTTTAGGGATTTGCAAACCTTTTCAAAATCAAACTTTGAAAAGTTTTACCTTCATGTGGTTTTTCAAAGGATCCAAAAGATTGAAATGAATATTGCACTTTGGACAAGCTCTTGGAAAAGGTGTTCCATTTTTAGATTGATTTGATGAGTTATTTGTACCTAAAATAAAGTCAAAATATATGGTTCAAGATTTATCACTTTTTAACCTTAAATAACCACTAACAGTTTGTAAATTTACTACAATTTCTAAATTGTATGTATATATTTCTTTTTTATATGCCACATTTCATATTTACCTTTTGATGACACAGCCTGGGGAGATGTCACTGAAAGAGACTTAGCTGAAGGAAATACAGCTGAGGAATTTGCTCCAGAAACACTTTCACTGGGCTTAGACTTTTTTGGATTAACACTGATTACTTCAGAAGTACAAGGACGTTTTGGAAATAACGAACTTTCATTCACACCTACAATAATTTAAACAGTGGAAAACATATTTTTAAACACTTTAGAATATTGCTTATAATTAAATAAAAATACTTTGGAGCTAAATTAAAGGCATTATAATTGAATTATGTCAAAAATGACAATCAATCATAGAAACTGATGTGATCAAGTCAGGGAAATTATGCAAACATCTATATATACTCAAATAATTCATAAAATAATCTTTCTATGCAAGAAAATATGACTTTGAATACACATATAAACAGCTACGATGAAAGAAGTCAGACCAAAATATATCAAGCAAAAAAATGAAATGAAATGAAATTAAAGCGGAGAGAATATTCCAAATTAAGTTCTTACAAATGAATAATCTTTAGATGGGTAAGGACATTAAAGTTTGTTAAAAAAAATTTTCTTTTATTCTATACATTTAGAGACCCTTTACAAACTTTTCATTTAACAACTTAAAATGTTTAATGAAAAGTTAAGCTCTTTTCCCACTTAACAAAGAAGTAGTCTATTCATGGTTTCAAGTTATATTATCCATTTATTCCAAAGTGAAATCAACTACTCTTGAATGATAATCATTCATTCATTCTTACAGAAGGGCTCATAATGAAAGGAGTTAAGTTTTTAAATTATGTTCCCAGAGCTTCACAGGCTCCTCTTAGGAACTTACTGTCCTGTTATTTTTTATTAGACTGTTGCATAAAATTATGTTTGTACAAAGATTTCATTACTAAAAAGAATTTTTAGTTTAAAAACCATCACCATAAATCTAAGGGATATTAGTCTTATTCAGAGCATTATCAAGAGAAATGAGGATATTTAGGCCAGGTAAAAGTTCTGAAAATAAAATACAACTGTACTTGGTAATAAGAATTCGAAACCTGCACATCATATTTTAATGCTCCCAACTATACACTAAAAGTAGAATAAAAAAGGTAAATATATCAGAAATATCCCAGCCTTGCTCCCGTAAGACTGTCAGCTAATTTATCAACAGAAACTTTGCAGGTAGGTCAGAAAGGATTGTCAAGAAATATTCAAAGTGAGGAAAAGTAAAGCTATCATCCTATATAATAAAGAGCTAATATGCAAATGGTCATCATGCCCTCGCACTGGGGCCAGGGAACTAAGGCCACGCCCCCTGCCCTGGCACTGGGGCCCTGAGGCCGGGCCAAGGACCTGAGGCTGCGCCCCCGCCCCAGCACTGGGGCTGGAGAAACTGAGGCTGGGCCAACGGACCTGAAGCTGTGCTGCCCACCATGGCGCCAGGGTCAAGAGACCTGAGGCTCAGCTAAGACCATCCTGCATATCAGATATTTACATTATGATTCATAACAGTAGCAACATTACAGTTATGAAGTAGCAACAAAAATAATTTTATAGTTGGGTCACAACATGAGGAACTGTGTTTAAAGGGCCAGAAGGTTGAGAACCACTGGCCTAAATGACCTTTCAACTGTTCAACTGGTAGCTATGTCGCACAATGATCACCAGCGTGCAGATACTCAATGCACAGGCATGGAAACATGAAGAGACTGATGAATTTCAGAGGGAAAGGGGGAGGGCGGGAAGAGATTAACCAAAGATCTTATATGCATACTGGAGGCCCGGTGCATGGATTCGTGCAGCGGTGGGGTCCCTCGGCCTACGCTGCAGGGATCGGGCCAAAACTGGCAGTCCAACATCCCCCAAGGGGTCCCAGACTGCAAGAGGACGCAGGCCAGGCCTAGGGACACCACCCCCGCCCACCACCACC